TGGGGCCGGGTCGGGCGGTTGCCCGGGCCCCCCAGCAGCACCTCCTTCACCAGCGGCAGCTCTCCCTGCCGCGTCACCTCCTCCTTCTTGGCGTCGCCCTGGGCGGCGGGCTGCCCGAAGGAGCTGTCGACCAGCACCCGCTGCCCCATGGGGAAGTTCTTCACCAGGAACACCAGGCGCCAGTCCGGCAGCTGGTAGATCTGCAGGGCAGAGGGACGCAATGAGCTGGGCAGCCCCGAACGCCGCAGGGTTGGCAAGCTGGGACAGGTCGGTCCAAGCCGCCTCGGAGGGACTGCGGGGAGGCACCGCAGACAGGCCGCCGTGCCGTGGTGGCTCTCAGCAGGCTATCAATGCCTTCTCCTGAGGCCCTTCCTATGCCAAGCCACTTCCATGTCTCAAATCGTCGCCCCGGGGAGGCTACGCTCCAAATCGAGGGCTGCTCCTGCGGGGCAGAACCCAGGAACGTGCCTGGGGGCTGCCAGGAGCTTTTGGTCTCGCTGGCTCTGCACCTCCCTCGCGTTCAGCAAAACAAGCCAGTAGGAAACATGAAGAAAGGCAAAGCGGAGGTGTCTTGAGGGGAACTGGGCCAAAACCTCCACTGCAATGGGTAAGAGAGGGGGGAAATGGCAACTTGGCCCTTCTTGGGCAGTCTGGGCCCTCTTGGGGCTCCCTGAGCACTTCAACACGCAGAGCAGAGCAGTGCAGCACGGTCTGGGCAACTGAGCAGGTCCAAGGGCTCGGGACAAGGTCCCGTATCAAAGGCACCTGCAGAGAAGGGTTACGACCTTCTTGCAGGTGAGTCACTGGATATGGAGAGTGGTGAACTGTCAGCCTGCACGGTGCAGAGCTGGTCCCACAAGGCTTGTGCTGGGATCTGTCACTCAGCAGCCCAGGACGCTGGGAAAGTAAAGTTCAAATTTGGTGAAAATCCCAAATTTTTTTAGGACAGTCAAACCAACGGGGCAGAGCTGTAGGCAAACAAGTCTGCTGCTAGGGACATAATGACCTAAATTAGATATCGCTACTCAAAAGAGATCTGGGAGCTGCTGCATCACCAAAGGGCAAGAAACCCAACCGAGTACTGGAGTTATTGCAAAAGGACAAAGGACAAGGCAGAAAACACCGCCACGTGCTGCCAGCACTTGTGGTGCAGCCGCAGCTCGGCCACTACACGCCGATCTGCCCTCCCCCCTGCCCAAAAGGGACACAGGAGAGCAGGAAAAGATTTGGAGAAGGGCGACATGGATGCTCTTGGGATGGGACCCTCCTGTGCACCAGCAGTAACGCAGCTGCCTGGGTTAGTGCTGGTTCACAGGAAGAAAGCTCCATCCAGCCACGGTCCCCTCTGCAAACCAGTACACGCTGGGGGGTGACCCACAGGGCCCCCCTGCCCTTCCCAGCCCCACGTCTCCCTCTGAGCCCTGCCGAGGCCGCAGGGCAGTCCAAGAGCTGCACCAGGGCTCCTCTCACCTCCATAGCACCGTTCTCCCGCACCAGCACACACCAGTGCGTGGGCTCCACTTTGTACTGGTGGGGGTCTCTGTCCGCCGAGGGGAGGCTGCTCCGGCGCGGCTCCTCCTTGGCAGGGCTGAAGAGCAGCCCAGAGTCCCCGTACAGCATCTCCTCCTCGTCGTCCACTGTGTCGCTGTGCCGGCCCGGAGAGAAACAGAGCCGAGCCGTTACAAGGGCCCACTCGCGCCCTTGCGATGACGCAGAGGGCTCCTGCCCTGCTCCAGGGCAGGGGACGGGTGTCACACCAGGAGCAGGCAGGCCTGGCCGTGCTCGTAAGGCACTTGCCCTCCTTCCTGCTGCTTCCCAGCCCCCCGGGCAGGGACAGGGCTGCTGCTGGGGCTCAGAGGGGCGATGCTGATGTGGGCTTGGCTGCCAAGAGCCAAGGAAAGGCGCCAGGAAAGCCTGCAGGGAGAGGCCTGCACACACTTCCCCACTGTGCACGGCCCCACGCGTCTGCCCCCACCACCCACCTGATGTCCTGGATGACGGTCTCTGCCTCCGAGTGGCTCCGGAGGGACAGCTCGTCCCGGGTGCTGGCCGCCCGGCTCTCCGTGGTGAACATCCCACTGACGTCACGGTACACGCACAGCGCGATCACCTTCGATTGCTGGGAAGGAGAGACCCGTGGGTAGCACGCAGCAGGGCAGGCAGGCGCTGGCCGTGCCCAGCCAGCGATGCTGCAGGTCCGGAAGTCCTGGGGCTGCCCCCAAGCAACACCGGGACCTTCCCCAAGATGGGCACGTGGCGGGAAGGAGCCACGCTCACGGCTGTTCACACTCACGTGGTGCAGCTGCGGTTTCTGGAGGGTGAGCCGGTGCGTCCTGCCCCCGTACGTGTCGCTCTTCAGCACGAACATGGTCACCTGGCCCTCGGCACTCATGATCACCACGTAGGGGTCCGCCACGGCGCAGTGCACGATCGGGGAGCCCAGGTCCACGGGGATGAAGTGCAGCTGATTCACTGAGACAGGCCCAGGGAGAGGACCGGTCAGGGGATGAACAGGCAGAGCGCGGGGCTTGCCAGGCTCAGAACGCAAAGGCACCCAGCACCAAGGAGGTCTCCGCACCCCGCTGGCACCCACCTCCTTCCAGCAGCCGGATGCCCAGGGGCGACACCTGGACAATGTACCGGTTCTCTCCGATGTTGCCCGCAAACACCGTGGGTCCCTGCGTGGCAAAGCCGCTCGTGTCCAGCTCCATGATCTCCTGACCGGTCTGCAGGATCTGAGGGGTGCGAGACCAGGCAAAATGTCAGACCTTGCTCAGGGCTGGAGGCAAGGCATGACCCAGTGTGGTCCCACCACCAGCAGGCAGTCACCAGGGCCGGGGTGCCAGCTGACAGCACCTCACCGGCACAGAGCCGGAAGCGAAGAATTCCTGGCCAGGGGACACCAGAGGACGGCCCAGAACGGTCTCAGCCAGTACAGAACTGTGCTGCCAGGCCCTTCACTGCTGTCTCCAGTGCAAACAGCACATTTCCAGCAGCCCAGCGCCTGCCGGGTCCCTCTGCTTCTCCTAGCAAGCAGGAGAGCGGCAGGGTCTGCGAGCAACGGGGCTCCCTGAAGAACAGTGCCAGCCAGTGCTGTGCTCCTGGGCCTGCCTGGCCCGTGCCCCCCACCCCTGCCAGGACAGGGCCTCACCATGGTGGAGTCCTCCCGGCTGAGGATCAGGAACCCGTGCCTCTTGCTGTCGTCCTCAGGCTCGGGGGGCGCAGGCTCCTTTTCCGCATTTTCCCCCGAGGCATTTTCCTCCGGCTGGAAAGTCAGACGAGCCCTTGTGAGCGCCACCGCGCCAGGGCCAGGCGTATGGCTCGTGCGGCCGGCAGAGCAGGGGTCACCCCTGACATGGCAGGAAACCCTGCCCTGTCCCCACAGGGCTCCTCCTGGCACCCAGGGGGGCTCTGCAAGCAAAAGGGAGATGTGGTACAGAGAGGTCACCGAGGGAGAAGCTGGCCACTGACCTCCTCCTTTTTCTGGGGTGAGATCACAGTCCACATGTCGTAACAGCCTGGGAGCTCGAAGGTCGTCACCACTTGGGGCCGGATGCTTTTCTGCAGGCGAAGGACAGGTTAGGGTGGGCAGCCTGAGCCCAGCCGGAGCTGCGGGGCCAACTTGCCTTCTCCGGGACAGCCCCAGGCAACGTTGTCCCAGCCCCTGAGCCCGCACGGGGACCCCAGCACGCAGAGCACACCAGCCCCAGAGTGCGGCCCTTGGGGCTGCGCTGAGCCGCTCTCGAGCTTGGCCAGGCTCCTCTGAGCTCACAGCCCCAGGCCTGACCCCAGGGCTGGCTCCTCTGCTCTCAAACGAGACGCAGGAGGAGTTTCCGCAGAGATCCCGGGCGGCCCACGTCTCCTACAGACCTGACTCTTCCTCCTGTAGGGAAGAGCCTGCTCCCATCCTGGGGCCAGGACAAACCGGCCTCATCGCCACAGCACAGGCCACAACAGCCTCTATCCCACTGCGCCTCTGCTCAAGGGGCTGTTTTACGCTCTCCCAGGGAGGAACGGGGCTGTTGGGAAAGGAGCTGCGCGCATGCGTGCCCAGCCTCGGGCTGTGTCTAGGTGTGTACAGGCGGCATCAATCACTCTGAGGCAGCCCTGGTTAGCCTAGGCCATGCTGTAGCACCGGTACCTGACCTGCGACGGACGCTCCTCACCGAGGCAGGCCTTTGCACAGTGCGCGGGGAGGGCGCGGGGCACGTGCTGCGCGGGGAAGGCCTTTGCACGGCGCATGCGGATAGCACGGGGCACACGTTGCATGGGGCAGGCTTTTGGACGGAGCACGAGGATAGCACGGGGCACGCGTTGCATGGGGCGCGCAGAAGAGCCCCAGGCAGGTCTTCGCGCACGCTGCCTGTGCCACGGTCCCCTCTGCCGGCACGGTGCCAGCACCGACTCACCTGCAGGACGGAGAGAGCTCCGTTCTTCCCGTACCCGGAGCAAAGCACGATCTCCAGGTCTGGCTCCGGGCTGTTCTGAAACTGGGATGAGGACAAGCAGCAGCTGTCACAGCCTTCCTCTGCCCGGAGAGAGACCCTGGGGCTCCCAACGCTGTGCTGGGCAGCGCAGAGCCCTGCTCCCCACCCGTGCCGGGCTCCCTGTGCCCAGGGACCCCAGGCAGAGCTAGCCAGAGCACAGAAGCCACCCAGTCCCACAGGACACCGGGGAGGAGAGGGAAGAGCAGGGCTGGCCGGGCTGCGAAGGGAACTGGCAGCTCAGGGCGAGCGCCCCGAGCCCACAGCAGCACCCTCAGTCGGGCACGGGTGGCAGGGCCAACCCTGCAGCGCGCCGGGCCGTACGCACCTCCTCCGAGAGGAACGCGGGCTCCCCCATGGCGGCGTTGGCGCAAGGGCCGATGTTAAGGATGCTGTCGCACACCTGCAAGAGAGGGGACGGGGATGCTCTGTGTGGGCTGAGGTGCTGGCAGCGAGGGCGCAACGGGCAGCCAGCGCCGCTGCCTGCACAGAGGGGAGGAGGGTGCAGGGGGGGGGCCCTGAAAGCAGAGCACGGGGACAAGGAGCAGACTCACGGGAGCGACGCAGCCAGAGGCAGGGCCCAGGGTCCCGCGGGCCACCCTGCACGGCCCTGCCAGGAGCTCGGCCAGCTCTGCGGGCAACGCCAGCGCAGGCAGGGCCCAGGCGGACAGACGTTACCTCGAAGGAGTAGGTGGCGAGCTGGGTTCCTGACTGGGCCTCGCTGCCGTACACCTCGATCTCGTCCACCTCGTCTTGCGGCGCTGACTTTCCTCCTAGGAGGTGGCATGGGGAGCCCGTATGAGAGCAGGGACAGCACACCACAGCGTCTCCAGAGCTGTCTGGAGCCAACCGGGCCAGGCTGGGGCTTCCCACGTCGCCCTCTTCCCTGTGCCTCCACCGCGGGCCCAGGATCTAGCAGCTGGGACATGGCCTTGAACCCTCCCGCACCTCCTGCAAACGCCCCATTTCTACTCCCACAGCCCCCCACAGGGAGCATTTGGGGGGTCTCCCCGCACCAACATGCCTGGCCTGGCAACGCCACCTACCAGCCCAGTTCCCCGATGACTCCGACCGCTTCTTCTTCAGCGGGGGCTCCTCCTGTGGGGACGAGACAGTCAGGAGTCAAGGGTTCCCCTTGAACTGCCCCACTGAGCCCATCCCCAGAGCCAATGCCCTCGCAGCAATCCCTGTGCCTGGGTCATGCCAGCACCCAGCCGGTCTGGGGGGACAGCAGCAGCCAGGACAGCAGCTGAACGGCCACGCGCACCACAGCCGGGAGCAGCGAGCATGGGCAAAGAGCCTCCCCTCCTGCCCCAGGGCCACGGCAGCCTCTGGGACTAGATTGGGGCCCGCCTGGCCCTGGGATGCGGTGCAGAGCCCCTCAGAAAGGGCTCGCCACAGCCCACCGGGGCCTTACTTGCTTCTCAGAAGTGTCCTTGACGACGTTCATCGGTGTCTCCTGCAGCTTCTCCGTGTACTTGAGGAGCAGGGAGTTCCCCAGGCGGGAGCCAAGGAACAGGTACCCCGGCTCCATCGTGACCATCTGCAAAGGGCAGGACTTTACACAGGAGAAGCAGCCTCACGCCCTCAGCAGCAGCGCAACCTCCAGCTCAGAGGGACCAAACACCCCCAGCCCAGGAACCCCTCAGACAACGGGCCGACCGGTGACACTTGTGCACCCAGGGAAAGGAATGAACCCCATAGACCTTCCCGAGGGCCACAACCTGCAGAAACTGCCTCTATCTACACAGGTTGCCCACAGCCCAACCTGACCTACGTGAGCTTGGCGCTACCAGCAGACCCACTGCAGCTGCACAGGAAAGGGAGCCCCAGCTCCCTGGAAAACCCCTCCTGACAGCTACGGGCTCCCCGCCAGCAGCCTCTCCTGCTCACACAGCCCTGCAAACAAGCGGGGGACGCCGCGTTAGCAGAGTCACAAGGGGACTGCGGCCAGCTCGCGCAAGGAGCGGCCAGGCTACGAGCAGGGAGCCCAGCCGTCCCGTCCTGCCCATCCTGGCTGTGCCCGAGCGCCCTTGGCTTACGCAGGTAGTGAGAACGCTGGCAGCCGCTTTGTCAAAGTGGAAAGAGCGGACGCTCCTCATGCCATCCGTTATGAGGGTCAGGACGTATCTAAGGAGAAAGGGGACGGGAATGAAGGTGGGAGACTTTCCCAGGGCCGCCTGACTCACACGGTAGCTGCCTTGGGCTACATGGCCAAGACAGACCATGCTATAGCCCGCGAAGAGCTGGAGTCAGAGCTGGTAGCACACTCTGGGTTGGGAGAGGCACTCCCTGCCCCACGCCCAGGCGTCTCGGGGGCCCACCAGCCTCCCCAGAGCACGGCAAGGGGGCAAGACTGCAGGCCAGGCATGGCAGGGATGGAGGAGCCCACGGAAAGCCAAGTCAGGCACAGGATAACAGCCCCTTCCCTGGCTGTGACAGCTTCGTTTTGGGGCTGCCCGCAATGCCCCGGGATTGCGGGCCTGAAATCTAGCCCTTTTTCCCCCTCACGTTTCACCCCACCATTCACTCCCTGTCAGCACCTACTGCACAGCAGGGCCGTGACTGTTTCCTGCATGTCACCAGCCCCTGAGAGAAGGAACACAGCCAGGGCTAGGCAAGCTCCTCCCAGGAAAGCCGTGCAGGACATCTGGGTGACGGCCACCCCCAGGCAGCGGCCGCCGTGCCGTTGGCGTCCCAGCAGTGGGAGGAAGAGCTGTCCTCCAAGCCCAGCTCCGCAGGCCGTGCCTCTCTCCAGCACACCAGCACGAAGGGGCCGGAGCAACAGCCCCCGGTGCCCTGGGACCAGCACAGACACAAGCATCAGCCCAAGCCCTCCCTGAGCTGTCCTGGAGCCAGAGCAGGACTTACATCTCTCCTCCTTTCAGCGAGATCACCATCTTGTCATAGGAGATGAAGGTGGCCTGGGCGCAGTCCAGCGTGACCTTCACTCCGTCCTGAATGCCTGCAGAGAGAGCAGCGAGCTGAGCACAGCCCGGGCACATGCCGGGCGGGCTTGGCCGAGCTGTGTGGATCGGGGCCGGAGGGCTGCACCACCGGCACAGGAAGCGGGTCACCTCCTGTCCCTGTGGCCACCACTGCATGCATCTTCCTTGCTCCATAGATCCCCCAGGCCA